GCCAGCCATGCCCTCTATGCCAGTGAGACCTCCCCCCACAACTCCTCAAACCCACTTTTATATGGCTCCTCTAGCCCTGGTCATTTCCACCTAGAGAAGGTGGGAGAGGGAGATGGAGTGACAGTAATATGGGGAGCATTATGGGGATGAGCCCAGGTGGTCTTGGGAATACCTTTTTTGAGGACCAGCCTATTCCCTCTTTTCAGAGAAGCTGTGGACTGCCCCAGAGCTACTCAGTGGGAACCCCTTGCCAACCACAGGCATGCAGAAGGCGGATGTCTATAGCTTTGGGATCATATTACAGGAGATAGCACTTCGCAGTGGTCCTTTCTACTTGGAGAGCCTGGACCTTAGCCCCAAAGGTGAGAGTCAATCTACCACCCCCACCCCCACCCCCTACCTGGGGGGCCCTGTTCTTCATCCAACCCCTTTATCTCCTTCAGAGATTGTTCAGAAGGTCAGAAATGGTCAGCGGCCATATTTTAGGCCTAGCATTGACCGGACCCAACTGAATGAGGAACTAGTTTTGCTGATGGAGCGATGTTGGGCGCAGGACCCAGCTGAGAGGCCAGACTTTGGACAGATTAAGTGCTTCATTCGCCGCTTTAACAAGTGAGAGGGCACCGAGGGGCAGGGGCGCCTCATCAGGCTTAGTGGATGAGGTGGGGCAGGTCGGGTCCAAGAGGGTGGGTTGGGTAGAAAAGTACTGGGAGTCTTGAGAATCTTGGAGCAGGTACCATATTCTGGCCTCCTCCCGCAGGGAGGGTGGCACCAGCATCCTGGACAACCTGCTGTTGCGCATGGAGCAGTATGCCAACAACTTGGAGAAGCTGGTGGAGGAACGCACGCAGGCCTATCTGGAGGAGAAACGCAAGGCTGAGGCTCTGCTCTACCAAATTCTACCCCAGTGAGGCTTTTGTCCCCCTTCCTGACTTTTCCTTTGATATTCTGCTCTGTTGGATTCTGCCTCATCAATCTCCTGAGATCTCACCTCCCAACTGCTTTGTTACATCTGGCCACAGTGAGCCTTTGTGGCTAGAGACTATTTTCATCCTGTCTCCAAATGAGCTGTGCTGCCTTCTTCTTAGGACATTGGTCTACCATGCCTTTGCTCCAGCAAGTGTATGTAGAACAATCCCAACTTGAGACATTTAGCCACCATCCCCAGGGAGCCCATTCCATTCCCCCATCGCCTTTACAGCTTACCTTGCTTGCGCTAGACTGTGCTGTCTTCCCAGCCACCTTCCTTCTCCTCCCCCAGGCTCAGCTTTCATGTTAGAACTCATTTCTGATCCAGCCATACACTCCCTTCCTTTCTCTCCGTCTCCTCCTCTTTCTGAGCTTGGCTCAGACGGCACCCTTGCTTTCTAGTTCAGTGGCAGAGCAGTTAAAACGGGGAGAGACTGTCCAGGCGGAGGCCTTTGACAGTGTTACCATCTACTTCAGCGACATAGTTGGCTTCACAGCTCTGTCAGCAGAGAGCACCCCCATGCAGGTAAGAGCCATGGGTGAGATTAGGGGGTGGGATAGCGACCTGGGGTTGCTTCACTGGGACATAGGGATCCTTGACAATAGGAAAGATTGGTTTGTTCTGGAGTTCCCGTGTGGCTTTTGGGTTAAGAATGCTTAGAAGGTTGGACACAAGTCTCAGGGCTTCAACTTTCCCACCCATTCATTAGGTGGTGACACTTCTTAACGACCTGTATACCTGCTTTGATGCCATAATTGACAACTTCGATGTCTACAAGGTGAGAGCTTGAGGCTACCTTTTTACTTAGACCACTTTAAAACCCAGTCTCCCTGAACCCCATACACCTTACTTGTTCTGTGGTCATTTTCCCTCCTGACTCTCCAGTATCCTAGAGCCAGAATGCCCTTTGTAGACCAGTGAGGCTCTGGCACTCTCACTGTACCTTCCAGTCGAATTTCTTGTGAATCCTTAGGCTTCCCTAATGGGAACCATCACAAGATTTAGCCCCTATCTGCTCCATTTTCCTGAGGGTATGAATACAGCCTATCCATCTTTTCTCTTCTCTCCATCCCCTCCAGACATGGAAGAATCATACAGGATGTGGGTACAGAATGATTAATTGGGGTGAGGGACAAGCTATGTTGTAAAAGCCTTTTGTTGAAGTCATTGAGTTGGCACAGGGTGGGCTTTATTGTGCTTGGGAGTAAAAATTACTTGGATTTGCATATTGGCTTTGTGGCTAATTGTGTGGCCTTGGGCAAGTAACAGAAGCTCCCTGTGCCTCAGATGTCTTATGTGTAATATGGGAATAGTTTTTCTTGTGGAAAGTGCTTAACATTGTGTAGCTAATATCCCTTCCTGTCCCTTTGGATTTACTCTACCATGTCTGTTATAATTGTAATATAGACCTCGCATAACCCTTTACTAAGATTCACCAATTTTTAAAATATATTTTTATTGATTTCAGAGAGGAAAGGAGAGCGAGAGTTAGAAACATCAATGATGAGAGAATCATTGATCGGCTGCCTCCTGCAGGCCCCCGACTGGGGTTTGAGCCTGAAATCCTGGCATGTACCCTTGACCGGAATTGAACCCCAGACCCTTCAGTCCGCAGGCTGATGCCATATCCACTGAGCCAAACCAGCTAGGGCTGATTCACCAATTTCTTATATTTCCCCCCATTTGTTTTATTTTAAAAATCTATATAATTATTTTTTGAAGCATTTAAGAGTAAGTTTCAGACATAGCTCTTCTTTATCCTAAACTGTTCAATGTTTAGTTCCTAAAGTCAGGGACATTCTCTTACACAGCTTCAGTACAATAGACAAAACCAAGCCCCTGCCTTTTTACTTTTGACAGTTGAGACTGTCTGAGGCCCATTTCATTGGGCCTGCTTGACCTCTTCTAGTTTCTGTCCTATTTTCTTGCTTCCCATTTCCTGACAGCAGACCTGTTTGCCCATGTCCTGTTGCAAACAGGGTGCCCATTAATTTAGCCAACATTTGCTGAGTATTCACAGGTACTGGGGAGGAGCAGGAGGGTTTAAAGATTCCCCTTCCTGCCCCTGTATTCTCAGGACTATAACACTTATTTTTCTAGTCTATGTTCTGACCTCCCAAAGGCTGTCAGGAGACAAGTGGTGTTCAGCTTGTCTCCCTGTACTCCTACCTGGGAACTGATACAGGTACAAGTGACATTTTAATCCCCCTCTCAATCAGGTGGAGACGATTGGAGATGCCTACATGGTGGTATCTGGTCTCCCGGGCCGAAATGGTCAACGCCATGCCCCGGAAATTGCTCGTATGGCCCTAGCATTACTGGATGCAGTTTCTTCCTTCCGCATTCGCCACCGACCCCATGACCAGCTGAGGCTACGGATAGGGGTCCACACGGGTAAGGTTAACGCTCACTCCAGCCCTAGTAGCCACCTTTCCCAGGCTCTCTCAACCTGTGTCTTCTCATAGGGCCCGTCTGTGCTGGGGTCGTTGGCCTGAAGATGCCCCGCTATTGTCTTTTTGGAGACACGGTGAACACTGCTTCCCGAATGGAGTCTAATGGTCAAGGTGAGACATTAGCCCTCAATCTCAGCTTCAGTTTCAGTCTGTGTCCCCCTTTTCTTCTTTTCAGAGTTCCTCCATATCTCTCAATCTGAGACCACAGTTCCTGACTGCCCCATCCTTGGACATATTTAGGTTCTGGTGCATGGGCACTGGGAAGACCGAGCGCCTCCTGAGGGGTGGTGGTTGGGTAAAGCTTTCTCTGATACCACCAATTCTTCTGTTGCCTTTTCTTTTCTTCTTCTTTCCACCATTCCCCATCCCACCCCAGCCCTGAAGATCCATGTCTCCTCCACTACCAAGGATGCACTGGATGAGCTAGGATGCTTCCAGCTAGAGCTTCGGGGGGATGTGGAGATGAAGGTGACGGCAGGCCATGGGGAGAGGGTTGGAAAGGGAGGATGAAAGTGACTGTGGGGATCATGGGGGAAGAGAGGGAGATAAAGGGAATAACATAGAAGAATCTGAATTATATCCACTCCCCTACTCCCAGGGAAAAGGAAAGATGCGAACTTACTGGCTCCTAGGAGAGCGGAAAGGACCCGCTGGACTTCTGTAAACCCCAATTCTTTTCAAGTCAGTCTCCTGCTACTGGTACCTGGGTAGGCAGTGGCTATCATCTCTCCATACACCAGACATGGACATTGTCATATGGGATGGAAACCAGCGTGCACAAAAATCCTATCTTATATGGAAGTTCTTGACCTTTGAAGCTCAGCCTTGTACATATACCTGCTCCTCTTTGGCCTGGTCCCCTTCTTCCCTACCTTCTGTATATATCTGTATCTAAACCAGAATATTTTGGTCAAATATAAAACAAACAAAAAATAATGATGTCATAGTCGGGGTTAAGGGCAGTTCCAAGGAAATGTTATGGGTATGAACATGGAAACTCAGGGAATCACTGACTCAGGATGAGAAAGAATCCTTTATGTAAAGCCTCTTCACCAAGTATAAACAGAATTCACTTCCTCTCACCTTTCCAGTACAGACAGAAATAGATTCCATATTCCACATCTCACATCCCTCCTCAACCCTTAGACAGTTCTACCCCCCTCACTGCCCTGCCCTCTTCCCTGACAGCCGAGAGAAGAGATTTGTCCCAATTGGTAGGAATAATTCTCAGGTCCATCAGGAAAAGACTGTTCCAGGGACAGTGGCACTGGTGTTGAGAAGCTGCAATTCTTCCGGAATGGCGTGTCCAGTGTCTTGATGTTACTGACACCCTATAGGAATGCCAGAATAAGGACAGAGCCTACTCTCTGCCAAGCCAGAACAGAACAACTTCTTCCCTTCCTTCTTCCCCACTCCCAGCATCTAGTCACCCTCACACACCGGTAGCTGTGGTGCCCTCTGTATCCAGAAAGTTTCAGGTTGCTCCTTGCAGTAGTCATGAGACTGTGAGGGAAAAATACTGAATAACTCTTGGCCTGAAGCTCCCTTTCTAAACCTCTGGGTCTGCTGCTCCCCCACAGCCCCCCAAAGCTCAGCTTTACATGTAGTGCGGAATGGGTTCTTACCTTTGTTGGGGCAGGAGCCCCTGCCTGCACCAGCTCCTTTTTGTAGTCATGGTGTGTCACAGATTCAACCTCAAATTGCTTCCTTGTCAGTTCTTGCTCTGCCTGCACCTCTTTACTATACAATTATGGGGGTATAAAAGCCGTTCTTCCCTGGTTTTTGTCCTCCCCCTCCCCTTTCCCCTTCATCCAGACTCTCACCAGATCTGGTGGGACAGCAGTATCTCCAGCATGGCTTCCCGTTTTCCTGTGGGAGTGGGGGCGGGGGCGGGCAGGGAGTGGACAGAGCTGACAAGTCTGGTTAGGAAGCAGGCGCAGAATAAACAAAGTTGAGAAAAGGAAGGAAAATTGTGGGGGGTTGCCCTTATACCCATTGGACAATCTATAGTCCCACCAGAAATTCCTTTCTCTTTTTTCTCTGACTAGTGGACTCATTCTGACCCATTCCCTCATGCTCCACACCTCGAATTGGCTGACAGCGGTTTCGTGGGGTCTGGTATGCGTCTTTCTGGGTGGTGCTGAGGGGCATGGGTGATTGGAGCTGCAGGGTTAGCAGTCCCTGGTGTCCATGTCGGAAATAGAAACTCTCGGAGCCATCCTGCACGCTTGGGACTTGATCCAGATGGTTGGTGGCTCTCTGTGGGCCCCAAGTTGAGTGATCATGTTATCCTCTGTTACCCACTCTCATCATACACTACTGTCTTTCCCAGGCAACTCCCTTTAATAAAAGGGAGTAGGTCAAAACCTTAATACCTCTTCCTCCCAGTTGTAGAGAAGGCAGTGGCCCCGTGGCAATGTTTTACCAGGAACTTCACACTTCACTTCAACCTCAGGGGTCTTCCACAGCCCCCTTTGGGCAACAGGTTCTGAAACTGGCAAAAATGTCCAGGGTTGTTTCTGAGGCCCGCAGTATTGGTAGTGATTCCCGGAGGCATAATTAGGGGCCAGGTTTGCCCCAGGATGTCTGAAGCTTGTAAGAGCGTTGGGGCTGAGCTCAGGGTCATTGCCTGGAGCAAGCTCAGAGGCACAACCAAGGCGAGAATCCAGACCAGTGCCTTTACTAGAACCATAGCCACGGCCAGGGCCAGGGCCAGATCTGGAGCCAGGAACAGGGCTAGATCTGGAGCCAGGAACGGGGCCAGATCTGGAGCTAGAAACGGGGCCAGATCTGGAGGCAGGAACGGTGCTAGGGCTAGAGCCAGGAACGGGGCCAGAGCTAGAGCCAGGAACGGCGCTAGGGCTAGTGTTAAGGTAATTTGTAGAACAGGGATGCCGAGCAATATAGGAAACATCAGTCTTGAAGCCAAGTCTCCCATGGCCTATCTTGTGGGTAAAACTGGGTCCAGTGCAGGGCTTCCCAGCAACACTATCAGAGGAGGGGTCCGAGAGAAGGCTTCGGTCAGAATAGGGCCCTGGGGTCTTTGCAGATAATACAGCTGCTTTGGCAGTGGAGACGGCTGCAGTGGCTGCAGCAGCTGCTGACGCTGCTGCCCTTGCGGCTACCAGGGCCGACCTAGGAGTGACATCCCCTTCGTAGCTGGGCAGTACGGGTAAAGATCTGAAAGAAAGCGGATGCGTCAAAAGCTCGGCAGAGGAAGGAAGTCCGCTGACTTTCCTCGTCCCCTAATGCCTGCAGCCAGAGCTGCGGCTCTCACCGCGACCTCGATCCCGATCCCGATCCCGATCCCGATCCCTCCGTAGACTCAAAGGTCGTCATCTTCAGACACCAGCTACCCAGGTTGCCATAGAGACAGCAAATAATTCCAGGAGCCTGCGCAGAACTACAGTTGGGCGGAAGTACCGGGTCAAGTTCCCTGCGGGGCGGAAGTCTTAAATCTGGTGCGGGGCGGGAAGTTTTCCTTTCCGTTTGGACTCCATTCCCTCTCACCCCCGGCTTTTAAGGTTCCGCTGATCTAAGGCCTCTCCCTCCATACCGAAGCATGATTCTTTTAAGCTTCCTAAGGTGGTTGTTAGAGACAGGCACAGGGCTATTATGTAGGGGATAACAGCAGCTTCCCCGTAGCTCATTCTCAAAAGTGGGGGTAGCCTTTCCAAACATTTAAGAATGAAAATACACCAGACAACAGCTTAAAGGCAGAACGGTGAGACTCAGGGATTAGTCAAAGGGTAACAGCTTTTTTGGGGTGTGATTACTTCACCCCCAGTAAAAGGCCCTCACACTGACCACCCTCCTCCCAGATCCTCTTATAATTTGGATTGGCAGCTGGATAAAGGCCATGATAGAGCACATCTCACATTGAGTCTCTTTTTTTTAAAAAAAATTGATTTCAGAGAGGGAGAGGGAGAGCGAGATAGAAACATCAATGTGACAGAGAATCATTGATCAGCTGCCTCTTGCGTGCCCCATACTGGGATCGTGCTTGCAACCCAGACATATGCCCTGACCAGGAATTGAACCGGGACCTCCTGGTTCATAGATTGACGCTCAACCACGGAGTCGCGCCAGCTGGGCTTAGTCTCTTCTTATTCCTTCAGGCGTATTCCTACTGCGACTTGTCTGGAAGCCTGACTCAGGTGGGCTGCTAGTCATGACTCACAGATCTATAGGCAAATGCTTCTTTAAACACAGGAAGGGCCTCCTTCATGTCTCTTACTCAGACCATAGTCAAAGAGGATCATAACCTTTTCCTTCCTCTTTGTGACAAAATTTCTTTATATATTTAAGACAGAGATGCAAAATTGAGGGAGAGCAAGTTTATTAGATCACAGGGTCCCTTTCCTTCTCCCCCATCCAATCATCCAGGCACAGGGTCCTTGGTCAGTTGGTAGGTTCAACCTGGAGGCCACTGGAGCTGTCGGCCCCCAAGTACGTGAATGTGCAGGTGATACACAGATTGTGCTCCCAGCTTCCCATCATTGATCACTGAAAGGGAGCTTGGGGTTAGTGAGTCAGGACCATGGGAAAGGTCAAAGAATGAAGATCACATTGAGCAGTAGGTATGAGAATTCATCGGTGAAGGGGCTCAATGGCTAAGCCACTCACCAAGTCGGTATCCATCTCCCAGCCCCTCAGTCTTTGCTGTCTTCTTGGCCACAAGGAGAAGGTGTCCTAGAAGCTACAGGGAAAGGGGAGGGAGACAGGTGGCTTTGTTTACAAGGAGCAAAACCTCTAGCTGAATCCAGGGCTTCCCCCAGCCAAACCCTTGTCCTAGTCCCCCCACCTGCTGGTCTTCTTCTTCAGCCTGGCTAATCCGAGGAATGGGCTTCTTGGGAATGACCAGGAAGTGCACAGGCGCCTGAGGAGCCACATCACGGAACACGAGACACTGGGAGCAGTGACAGGCCAGAGGGCACCGTGTTAATTCCACAGGCTGGATGGTATCTATGAAATCCCTATGGGATGGGTCCTAAGGGCACCCCACCTGCTGGTCCTCATACAGAACGTCAGCTGGAAGGCTTCCATCCAGGATCTTAGAGAAGATGGTTGGGGCTGTTCCCTTAGGAGCTGCCTGCTGGGCCTTGGTCACTTCGTTTCCATCATTCACACCTGCAGCTCCTCGGACCTGAAGGTGGGTCAAAACCGAGGGAGAGAGCTTTGGGGCTGACAGCAGTCCCAGTGATTTCTGCTTCTAAAATGTCTAGGAAATTTAGCACTGTTCAGGGGAAAGATCCAGAATGAGAACCTGAGACTTAGTTCCCTTAGTTCCTATTATTAGTGATTTGCCTTAGAAAAATCCCTTCTCTTGGCTTCAAATGTAAAATACCGGGAGCGGTTTACATCATCTTTTAACACCACTTGGAGTTCTCTCCATATACTCTCACCTTGTTAACGTTGCCACTTATTTCCATTATTTACTTTCTGATCTTTAAGCCATGTGACCTGTTTTATTCAGATTTTAATACATTTGCCTTTTGACACAAGGGCGTCTAGGTGTCACATGTGCCCTTTGACAGTGAATTTTAACTCCAGGCCCTGAATCAGTGGAAGAGTTCAGTTCCGTGAACTCGGCCCCCGGGGACTGAGGGAAGGCAAGTCCCAGTTTCCCACCAACTCAGGCTTCTCAAGTCGGTGCTGTCACACTGCGGGGGGAGGACTGGATGAATCTGACCCCTCCAGGCGCTCTGGCCAAGTGGGGAAGACGAGAGCCTAACACTGGGACTCAGCAGAAGGCCAGAAGCCAGCAGGGCAGCAGATAGGCTGCAGGGAGACCGGAAGCTCCCTTCCCGCAGGGGGCACGAGGGGGCTGCCCGGAGCAGGCGTGGGGTAGCTGGGCTTCAGGCAGGTTTAGGAGGCAGCAGCCACTGCACGGCCCCGGCCCGGCCCCGGCCTCGGCGCCTGGGGCTGTGCAGGGTGCAGGTCATCGCCAGCTCGCTTCTCCCGCGTCGAGGTTTCGGGGAGGACGATGTCGCGACTACCGGGCCGATCTCACCGCTCAGCCATGGACCTTGCACGCCGCGCTCCGTCCCCGCGAGGCAGCGGGGCTGTGCGCGTCTGTCTCTCGCCCTCGGGACCCCGTCACTCAGGTCAGTCCCCGGGCCGACCGGCCGCCGGGGCGGGGCGCCTGGGAGCGGGCGGCGGCGGCGATTGGTCCCGCCGGCTCCGAGCACGTCGCCCCGTAGCTCAG